CCGCATCGTCGGCGCACCTCATCGGCCGCGCAGACTATCCCGAGTCCTATCACCACCCCGGCCCATGTTCGGGCGGACGAGTTCGCCGACGAGGAGGACTCGCTGACGGTTCTCAAGTACAAGGCCTTTTTCAACGACAGGCCGCTGTGTAGGTGCCTCGATGAGTGGGAGGCCAGGGAAGAGGCCTTGAAAGCCGCTCGCAAGGGGAAAGCCATCGAGGGTCAAGAGCCCGAAAAGCCGCAGCAAGAGGTTGATGCGGACCAAGAGGCTGCCGCTCTCCAGGAAAGCATTGCTTTCTGGAGCCGGATCCGCGCCCAGCTGCGGATCGACGACGAGGACGACGACGACACAGCGTCGACGGTGACGGTACGGCCCGGAAGGGTCAGTACGGTCAGCACCGACGAAAGCGTCACCGGGCTGATCGACCTCGACGCGTTCCCTATGCCGCCGGGCTACCGAAACCCGCTGCACCCTTCCCCGGTGGCGACAGAAGATGCTCCCGAGGAAACAACCTCGGTGGAGCCATTCCCGGCGCTGGGGGAAACGCAACCGGAGCCAGAGCTCCCAGACGCGTCGTCTTTGGGTGGGCCAAGGGGCCTCAAGAGGAGTAAAACCCGCGTCGCTCGCCGTTATGGGGGCATCTTCACCGGCGTCCAGATGCCCCCTCTGGAATCCTCACCGCCCGCCGCGCCGCCCGCCGCACCGCCCGCCACCCCGCCTATCACGCCGGAGGATCTCCGGAGGATGGACGACTGGTTCGCGTTTACATTGACGGAACATGAGACGAAATCGTGGCAGAAGAGCCACAGACGCGGGGGCCACGGTTGACTCGCCGGAGAGGGTCCAGGCTGAGAGTGAGCACGCTGTCTCGCTGGACAAACGAAATGATAGGCCGAGGATGCCGGCATGACGACTGTGAGTGATCTTTGGGATGAGTCTTAGGAATGACTTTTGCGTCCACATATTCTTTTGACCCGACAAACAACAAGATCTTTGCGGGTGGCACTGTACATTGGGATCTCGCCAATTTTGGTTCTGGTGAAGGGATTCCCGGATCTCAGTAATGTTGCGGAAATTTTGGAGGCGGATCATGACTATTTTGTAAGCATAGGCACTACGCAGTGATGATTACTCGTATATTCCGTAAATTCACCAGCACTGCAGTCGGCTCCTGGGTTTCTCCGGCGCTGATTTAGATACTGGGTGAGATGCGGAGGTCTCCCGTCTGATTCACGTGGCTTTTTGCTGTCTCTCGACATGCAGACGGATGATGTGAGGTGAGACATCCGAGAACAGATGGAAGCCAGATCCAACGTCTCACTCCGTTGGGCCGATCCTTGAATCCTCGATGAATTTAGTCCTATTTGCGCGAACGTGACGCTCCGTGTTACGATGCATAGTCGTACGGCAGAGAAGAAAAAGGTTTACGAAGATGGCGGGAAAACAGATGGCGTGGTGATGGTTACCTACCTACGTAGAAACACGTAGAAACCACAGACGGATCGTTTTGTGATGCCGCAAGAAGATGACCTACATGACGCCAGGCAACGAGGATTTCCTGGGATTACAGCAGTGGGCCAACAGACCTAGTCAAGGCAAGTGCTTACCCGTAACTAGAACCAACAATCTCCGTCATGGCGGACTTGTTCATCGGCGGTAATGATTTTGGGTCTGGGTCTCTCTTTGCACCTGCCCAACTCGACGACTGCCAATCTGGAGGGAATCGCAGGAGTCTATCGTAGCTCGCAACTTCCCTCTGCACGGGGAGGAGGGGAGGAATGGCGCGGCCGTCAGTCGGCACTGTCAGCAGCTGCCATTGTCGGACGACTGCAGACGGGACCGAAGTCGTGGAGAAGGAGGGTGTGGACGACGCACGGCATTCGGGCGCCGGACCAATCATGGGCTACGGCTACGGCTGGACCAAACGCCCCGGGCAGCTTTCTGGGGTGAGCTTCGGTTCCGGCGACTGCAACATGGCGGGTCCCCATTGATTGATGATTGTCCGTGAATGGCACACGAAGGGTCCCTCCCGCCCTTTTCTCTCCCCGGGAAGGCTGTCTGCCATCTTCCCATGTCATGGTCGAGATTAAGGTATGAGAGAATCAGTTCGGTCGGTGGTAACTTGGCTTTCTTATCCTCCCTTACACTTTCGGACATTCAGCCCTACTGTTGCATGATTCGCTCCGCCATCGCCGGAGGGATCGCATGCAACCACTCAAGTGGACGGGTCCTCTGTCAATGCAAACGCGAGATAGTGGCGCATCGACCACCCCAGGACGGCTCAGCCCCTCCCCCGGCCAGCGCAGTCTGACGGAGGCCAGGCTGAACTGAGTGGCAGGGAGGAGAACAGAGAAAACAAAAAAGCGGATGCCTGCTTTGTCCTGGGAACTCGTCCAAACTTTTTGTCGTTTCTGACGTCAAAATCGATTGCACGCCCGAGCTTTGCCTGACGACCTATTTGCGACCCGATCAACCGGACGGACCGGCCCGACGGCTTGGGGAGGGAATCTAGATACGATCTGCGGATGCGCCCGACGCCGAGCTTTCTCGCGACGCCACATTGAGAGGACCGACAGAAAACAATCGCGCGCGATAGCGTGAACCAGGAGAGAGTGAGAAGGAGAGAAGGAGAAGAGGAGGACTCCAAAAACAGGCCATGATGCGCAGCATCTGGTCGTGTTCGTCGTGCGCCTTGCTGCTCCTCGGCGCCGTGCTGGGCCGGAGCGTGGTTGAAGCGTCGCATGCCGGGCCAGAGAGGAGGAGAGATGTAGTGCACCGGGTCGCAAAGGCGCAAATCACACCGGGGCCCGAAGTGCTTCTCCGAAAAGACGGTAGCAGCAGCAGCACCTGCGCCGCCGACCTTTCACTATGTCCGGACTCGCTAGGCGGCGGCTGCTGTCCATCCCGATACGAATGCGCGACCGATTCGTGCTACGCGACGACGACGGGCGCGACCACGGCCTGCGGCAAGGCGGGCTGGTTCGCCTGTCCGGCCGAGGATTCCGGGGGTTGCTGTCCGGTCGGCTACATCTGCGGCCCGAACGACTGCACGCCGCCCGCCGGCGTTTCTAATACCATCACGTCGTGCCCAAGCAATTACTATCTCTGTCCGGCATCCGTTAGTTTTGGATGCTGCCTCAGCGGCATGGGCTGTGCCCTTAACGCCTGCTACTCGACGAGCCCGGTGACCAGCACCGTCATCCAGATCGCAACCACCACCTCAGGCGGCTCGGTCTTTGTCACAACGCAGACGGCCGTCACCGTCGCGATCCCCTCGCCTCCATCCGGGCTACCTACTGATGTCGCCGGCATCGCGCCGAAATTCATCCCCTCGAGCGTCCCGAAATCCCCGGCTAGTGCTGTCCCGTCCGGTGGAGGCGGTGGGCTCACGTCAGCCCAGGTCGGCGGGATCGTAGGCGGCGTAGTCGTCCTGCTGATTGCCGTGGTTGTCGCTGCGTTCCTGATTATTCGCCGTCTCAACCGCGTCGCTGAGGCAGTCGAGTCCTCCACCAAGCAGCCGTACTCAACCAGCGAACTACCAGGAGGAGGACCAGCAGCGGCGGGAGGATCTCAGATGCGGCAGACGTACGGCTACATTGACGAACACAGCAGCGTCGATCCGCTCATGGCCATCACGCCCGGCCATCAGACTGGTGGCAGCGGGGCGAATACACCCCCCACAGGCGGTGGCGGTGGGCGAGCCCGCTCGGGTTCCAAGGATACATTTACCCCGTCGAGGAGCGAACTCTCGCCTGACCCTAGACATCCGAGCATGGATTCCGGCAGAGGAGGAGGGGGTTATTTCGATATCCCGCCGCGCGTGCAGAATATGCCGGGCGGGAGGCAAGGGATGACGGCCGCTGGGTTCAGGAGTAGCGTCGACAGTCATAGTACGCAGGGGGGAGGAGGATATCCGGGTTATTCGTATCATCATGCCCGGAACCAGAGTAACGCGAGCGAGCTGTCGGATGGGAGCGAGCACCTTGGTCAGCACACCCCGCTTGTGCAGGAGCTCGATTCGAATGGGGTGTGGGTTGAGTTGCCCACCTCCACGGAGGGGAGGGACGGTCCGGGGACTCCGGGCCGGAGTCGGGCGGGCAGTGGGGTGAGTATGGGTCTGGGAAGTCCACGGTTGTTGGCAGGCGGGAGGCGGAGGAGTGAAAGCGGAGGAGGAGGACAGCCGGACCCGGGAGTGACGGGCGGCGGGTTCGGGCCGTTGGATGTGGTGAACGAGTCGGCCGAGATTATGCATGGATATTATGGGCCGAGGGATCGGCAGGTTGGACAGACAGCCGCGGGGCTGGGGGAGATCGGATGGGATGTTAGTTCGCCTGTTGCTGTGCCGGGGCGGTTTGAGCAGGTGGGGCAGGGAGAGGGAGAGGGAGAGGTGCCACCAGGAGGGCCGAGTGAAAGGGGGGCAGAGCAGGGACAGGCCCAGGGGGGTGGACAACAACCGGGTCAGGGACACACGAATCAAAAACAATCGGGCCAAGGACAAACTGGTCCGGGTTAGATATAACGAGGAGGACCGATAAAAAGGAAACGGACAGGAACATGGACATGGAAAACAGGGTACACGGGCTTCGGAGTTGGGATATATACGGGATATATACATGCATGGATGGATCGATGGCATGGCGCGCGCGGCATTGGGATCGGAAAGCAAGCGTTGATTTTAGTTAGGGTTAGCTTATTGGCGTCTCCTTTCCGCTGTGATCTTCTCTGGCTGTTCTTTATGATATGTATTTCCGGACTACGGGGGGGGTTGTTCTGCTCTTGGGTTTTAGCGGGTGTGTCTGTAATATATATGAGAGTCTGTTGTCGGGCAGGTCACATTTTGTATCATTGCGTCTGCGAAATTGATGACAATGGTTTTGCTGTGGTATCACGCATCTAGTCTTCTACAATCTATCCTCTGGGCCAGGTTGTCTTGGACTGAACTGGAAAGGGGGCGGTTTATAACACAGGACCACACTACACTACACAGCAGAAACTCCGAAGGGCGGGTAGCGCAGTGATCAGCGTGCTCGTGAGCGTACTTTAGCGTTGATTTTCTTCTCCTTCTCTTCCCTAGAAACAGCGTTCTTTGAGAGACCTGGGTTCGAGTCCCAGCCCGTCCAAGCTCCTCTTTTTTAACTCATTCACAGCATCGGGTTTCGGGGTATACAGTTTTGATCTACAGTACCCTATTCAGTGAAAGGGCGGGTAGCGTAGTGGTCAGCGCATTCCCTGAGCGTGTTCTTCCCTAGACTAAAGCGGATTTCAGCGTTGATTTTCTCCTCTTTCCCTAAAAAAAGCGTTCATTGAAAGACCTGGGTTCGAATCCCAGCCCGCCCATACACCTTCTTTTTTTTGTTGGATTTCCTATGTATTGTACGATAGCATCAGACAAGAAAGCAGAGATAGACTCTGGAGACAAGACCATGTCCACTCCCCCTGGCCCTTCCTGCAGCTGTTTCTATGGTAAGATGACTATCTGCTCATATTGCGCAAATCATCCGATTGTCTGGGCAGAGTATACACGTTTGTAAAGTTATCACCTATTATTGTCTGCATTCCCGGGTTGGTTACGTGTTCTCATGTGAGGCGGATACCAGGTAGCTAGATACCGACGCTTGCGAAGCAGCGTACAGGTACCCAAGGTGAGCAGACGTAGACAAGTGACGACGGCCTAGTGGCTCGCCACCTAAGGCATTCCTATTGTCTATTTTGGATGCTCTCCTGTCAAATATGTATCCCGTGACACCAATTAAGGGGTGGGGAATATCTCGTGGGCCATGGTCAAACTGTTCCCGTCACTTGAAGAGATAGAGATGTGCTCTTGGAGATGAGACTGAGCTGTGGACTGTAAGGCTTGCTTCTTTAGCAAAACCGGCGGGCCAGGCGAGTCCTCCGTCGCCGGAAGCTTTGAGACGAGACGATGGAGCCTAGCATAACGGACTTTGCAGAAACCTTCCCTGGAGGCGGAAGTTGATGGCTATTGTTGGATATGTTCTTCCCAGTACAAGTTTCGTCATCTCATGAGACGGTGTCAATGTGCTTGGATGAATAGCTGACAGGAAAGAAGGAGGGTTTATCCGAAGTCGAGGATGTATTCGGACGACACATGCTCTACGCATGGTGAGCTGTCTCTACTCCGCACCCATAATCCTTGGTTCCACCGTCGCAGTATTAGCATGAATTAGCATGACAGCTTTCTGAATAAGTCCGAAATCTTCTTGCTGGCTCCGTATCACGGACCGACCGGTCCAGAACATGACCCCCCAACCCCCGAGCCAAACCGGGGAAGCGGCCGGATCCACAGATCCTCGGACCACTATATGTAGCTCGGAATCGGGGCTCAGTCCGCAGCCCGACTCCACTTGCATCCTCCACCAGAACCGGCGGCGCAGCCAGATATATCCGTCCACCGAGGATATATATATCCCGGGCCGGTACATATGCTTCGCTGCAAGGAACGCCAGCCTTGAGTCAGCCGGGTAAACGGGGTAAAGGCCACCCCGTGCCGACCACGCCTCTTGCCCTGCGCCCGCAGACTTGGCAGTGGGAAAAATGTCCTTGGACGAAAAAGACAACCGGGCTGGCCAGTCTAGAAAACACGTGTGAAGTACTTGGCCGCGGGCCCGGTGCGTCCGGGTTGAGAGGGGGGGACGCAATACCTGGTTAGATTGGGTAGCACACCAACCCGGGAATCTTTGCCTCGTTGTGATCTCTCGTTGACCAATCTTGTCCAGCCAGGAGTGACTGACCAGAACCGGTCACCTGCTTTTGTTGGTGTGTTTACTCACGCGTTGTGATGTGTTGTCTCCGCCAAGCCAGTCGGCATTTTTCACAACCACCTACATACTGCTGCTGCAGATAACAAGCCGCGAAGAGGTCGTCGCCAATGGTGAGTTTGTGAGTCAAGGACACGTGATTAATGCGCTGTGCATAATCGTGGGTGTGACTGCCGACCCGCCGCCGTATGCCGGCACTGAGACATGAGATTATCGTCAGCGCGAGGGCCACCAAATATTCCGTACACTAGCTCAAAAGGTGTCTCTTGCCGAATGACGCGGCCGGTCATCTCCAGACAATGTAAACATCCTTCATCTCGCGGACTTGGTGATGGAAATTCGCAAGGCAGGCCACCCTGGGGTCGGAATTGAAACAGCCACTGCGGAGCATTGGGCAGACACGAGTGCGGCTGCTGGCCGACCACACACGACTGGCCAACCGTCCGCCTCGCCGACGAGCTCGGCAAACCGGCCAAGTTCAGCTTGTTGGCAGCCGCGTCGCGTTTGGTCCTCGACGAGCAAACGTCGCGATCGACCACTGACAGTCCAAGAGACGAAGAAATAAGCTTCGTGGCTCCGATTCTCTGACAGGGGACGAGTGTGCCTCTGATCCGTGGCAGCGGATGCAATTTCGCTTGCTCGTTTCATGGCTGGCAATCGCCGCCCTGCTGGAAGCCTAGAAGCCGCCGTGCAGCCATCTCGACGCGGGGTATCGAGAATAAAAAGTTGCATCTCACGATAAAAACATCGCGTCGTGTGTTTCCCCACTGTGCATTGCGTTCGAGTCAGTCGCAATGCGTTGACGCCCTTCAAGGCACGGCATCCAAGACCTCGGAACGACTTCAACAGCGCAGAGACCGGGTAACATGCGCGCGATTACGTGGTCTTCGATCCTCTCAGGGGTCGGGAGCGCCACCTTGCTTCAGATCTTCCAAAACGGTTAGCCCAGGCGGGGAGGTCGAAGCCGCAAAAAAAAGAAGGCCGGTTCCCGCTCGGAGCTCCAACACCAACGTGGAATGTGACAGCAAAGAGGAAGGCCGGGAGCTGGGCTTCCTAACCTGCTTTTGCAATGGGCTTGTTCGTGCCTTGCCGCGTTCCTGCAGACGCTGAGGGGCTTGCAGACTTTTCTCGCAATGGTCGCTGCAGTGCATCGGTACCTGCATGCCTTGGCTCGCTGCAATTGGCGACTCGTGTGATGGTGTGGCCACCAGGCCTCCTGGGCGAGAACAAGAAACAGCGGACAATCAACTCGGGAAAGGCTCCTCCTTTCCGCCCCACCATCGCGCCAGTCAAGACACACAGCGGCAAGTGATTCAGCGCATTCCTCGCGGGGAAGCTCCATCGACATGCTGATTCGCTGCGGTCGAGCTGCTTGTCAAACCATGCTTCACCATCTTGGTTGCTGTTCACGACAGCGTTCCGCTGAAGAACTAGCAGCAGAATAAAAGCTGGCAAGAGCGCTTCCACAGTATCTATCAGGTTGTCAGATTTGACCCCCACTGGCCTGTGGCCAGACTTCCACCGAAGTGGGGATAAGTGGGGTGCTGCTGAACGTCCGAACTCTTCCCTCAGCTGCCAGGAAAGGATCGCGACCTGCCAAGGTCCGGACGGTCCGCCCTTGTCGGCTGGCTGGGCCACGTCGCTGTCCACGCCTTCATCGAGGCCGTGGCCAGGGCAATACGAGTGCAGGGCTCAGTCCCAGCAAGCCCACCTAAAAATTGCCGTCAGCTCGGTTCCAACTGACTCTGTTGCTCTGGCGAAGGCGATGAGGTGTGGTGACACTGAGATGTAGATTGATTTAAGTTTATCCAGTGTAAAAATATGAAAAGCTGGCTGCGGTCAGCGAATCCTTTGTTCTTCCTGTTCGTCCAAACCTTCTGCTCCCGATTCGCCGGCGAAAACAAATTGTGGGGCCCATACCCCTGTTGATCGTCGCCCAGCTTTCCGCCCACGCGGTTGTGCCTGGATCGTTCCTGCCGCCTTTCTCCCGCTCTGACCAGGCTTGCCAGGGGGAGCCCTGCCGAGCCCCTCCCACTCGCGCCGTCCCCCCTCGTTGAACCACAACGACCACCCGCGCTCAAACCAGGCACCGTCCACAGCTTTAAATCCCGTGCCACCCGTCTTCGCTTCTCTCCACCTGCTCCCTTTCCCACCTCACCTCACTCGTGTGGTTTTCGGTCCTCGGCATTTCCTTTCCTTTTTCATCTCTCCTTTCCTCGTCGCGCCTGGTTGCCAGCTACGATCGACGCACAGCCGTCTTGAGTGTGTTTCCCGTCTCTCAACACCTGCCTCCTCCAAAAATACCAGGTCCAAAACGCATCACTCCTTCTTGCGTCTTTGACAGACAACAACTCAAGCTCCTTTCGGCGCCTCGTTCATTCATCTCGCGGACCCCAGCACATTGTGCTTTCGACACGCGATTCCATTCCTTTCACGCCTTGTCGTGCTGGCAACTTAGCCCATTGTGCGCTCCTTCCTCGTCTTTGCCGGACCAATCACTCGAGAAACCATAGAAAAGAAGACGACCCCTCGGATATCTATCCAACGACCAACCAACAAAATGCTTTCCAAAACAATCCTCGCTCTGGCTGCGGCCAGCCTCATCCAAGACGTCGTCGCTATCAGCCCCCGTCATCATGCCCACCAACAGCTGCACGAGAAGCGCGCTGTCGTGACCGAGCTTGTCACCGAGACGGCCTGGGTCACAGTCACCCTTGGGGAGAACGAGCCCACCCCTGCAGCCGCCGCCGCTGCTTTCACGCCTAAGAAGTTCTACACCAACAGCCGCAAGAGATTCTCTCGTACGGCCAAGAGTTCGACAACTGTTCTTCCAAGCGATACTCCGGTCGCTGAAGCTGTCCCGACCACGCTTGTTTCGCAGACCAAGGAGTCAGCGGAGGCGGCTGGGCCCACCATCGAGGCGATCCCCCGGCCTCCGGTCAGCATTCCCAGCGTTCCCGATGTTGCGCCGCCTGCCCAGCCATCTCCCGTGGCGCCTGCTCCTCCCGCTGAGCCGGCCCCTGCCAACCCAGCGCCTACGGACTCGACTCCTGCGGCTCCGGCGCCCCCGACAGGCGGTGCTCCCGGTGGTGCGCGGGGTCGTGGCCTGGCTTACAACGATCCCGCACTGCTTCCTCGATTCCTCGGCTCCGGCTCCAAGATCTCGTGGACGTACAACTGGGGCCAGACGGACGACTCCAAGACTGGCCTGTCGTTTGTTCCTATGCTCTGGGGTACCAGCAAGGGCTTCCCAGCGACCTGGGCTGCCAATGCTCAGCGGATGATTGATGCTGGCTCCAAGTATCTCTTTAGCTTCAACGAGCCCGATAACCTCGGGCAGGCTAACATGAGCCCCGCGGATGCCGCCAAGGCTCACATCCAGTTGATGAACCCGTTCGCTGGCAAGGCCCAGATTGGGTCCCCGGCTATCACCAACAGCGGCCAGCCGAACGAGGGCACCCGCTGGCTTGCTCAGTGGTTCTCGGAGTGCAACGGCCAGTGTGCTTGCGACTTCGTCAACATCCACATTTATGGCTTTGACACAACTACCTTCCTCCGCCA